GGGGCCTCAGAGACCGGGATAGAGATCATCCTTCTCATCCATTTCCACAAGTGAGAAGGGCAGGAGCCCTCTCCTCCCAGGAGAGGGGCAGGGGTTTTCTTTCTCCAGGCTCTCAGAGGCAGGGTGGCTCCCAGCATGTCTGAGGGGCTGGCAACTGTCAGATCCTGACCCTTCCCTGAGCTCGGCCTCCAGGGAAGTATTTAAGAACTTTCTCGGTCCATGCCACCCCTCCCTTTAGCATAAGGTGAAGGAAGGTGAAGCTCTAGCCAATTCAAGAAGGCCTCGAGGCTCCCCAACAAGCCTCTTTCCCTTGCTCCCTGTGAGTCCTGGGAGAGGAGTTATTCTGCAGGTGGGATCTCCAGGAAGTATGTTCCCAGACCCCCATCTCTGCCTCTCATGCTGCCATCTTTTTTTCAAGGCACAATTCAAATGCTACCTCCCCCCTGAAGCCTTTCCGTGTTTCCTTCCCACCCACCACCAGCTGCCCCTGCCCCTTTCCTCTGACAACCCACCCGATTCCCCTGGCTGTGTCAGGTGTGCCCAGCTGGGGGCCTCTCCAGGGTAGCCCTTGCTTCTGACCCGGGAGTGCCTCACCCAGATCTGTGCCTCCTTCCCCAGGCTTCCGTCATCTGGTACCACAGTGCCTACCACAGTGCGTGAAATAGCGCAGGTGCTCAGTAAACATTGGTTGACTTACTCCTTTTTGGGATGCACCTAGAGATGGGCAGATCAACAATGTGGGAAGTGCAGCCAGGGGCGTGGGTCTGAATCAGTGGCATCGAGGGTGGGATGGGGCAGGAGTCAAGGTGGGCAGTAAGCCCCATCTTCCTGTCACCATCATCAGCAGCAACTTTGATATACTGAGGAGTACTCACTATGTGCTGTGTACCTTGTGAAATATTTTATACACAGTATCCATTGGGTCCTCTCAACAACTACCTGCTAGGCAGGTAGCATTATTCCTATGCTATAGATGAAAATACTGAGGCTTAGAAAGGTTAAAGGATTTGCTCAAGATCACACAGTCAGTAGTGGAGGCAGGATTCACCCCAGGTCAGCTGACTCCAGCGTGCACATTCCTGACTCTAGCATCAAGCTTTTCCAAGGATCAGCCCTGGGGAAGAAGCCCAGCCCTTCCCCCCACACTTCTCCCAGGGAAGAACCCGGGAAGGAGGGCTGGAGGGCTGGGGTAGGCAGAGCTACTCAGCTCGCTGACACCCTGCCCTGGGCTGCAGGAAAGCCCACAAAGAGCACCCATTCTCCAGACAGACCAGCGTTCAAATCCCAGCATTGCCACGTACTAGTTATGTATCCCTGGGTCGGGAAGATCTCTTGGAGTAGAAATGGCAACCCACTCCAGTACTCTTGCCTGGAAGATCCCATGGACAGAGGAGCCGGGCGGGCTACAATTGGTGGGGTTGCAAAGCGCTGGACATGACTGAGCAACTGAACACGCACATAGTTATGTAACCTTGACAGAGACTGGACCTCTCAGATGAGCCTGTTTCCCCATCTGAAAAGTGGGCACTCTACCACCCACCTCCCAGGCTGTTTTCAGGATCACATGTAACGTGCTTGGCACAGAATATGGGTTTAGCAAACCCAGCCCTTACTAGGGTTGGAGAACAGTGACCCTCAGGGCAGACTGGGCTTCCCTCGCCCCCTCTTCTACTCTGAAGGCTGTCACGAGGCAATGGGTGTCGTCAAGGAGCACCTGGCAGAAGATGGGCTCAGCCGCCCCACCCAGGCGCTCTGCCAGGTCCCCCACCTAAGCACCTGTCCCCATGCCCCCCACGCCCCACCCTAGGCTGCTGAAGAGGGTGACCTGCTTGGCCTGGAGGTGAGGAGAGGAGGAAGGGGAGGTCAGGGGTGGGGCTGACCCCGAGGGAGGTCACCCGGGCAGTTAATCCAGCCTGACGGAGCAGGGATGAGCAGGGAGGAATTAGGAGCTTACAACATCCTTTCATCCCGCAGCAGCCCGCCAGCCTGCCCGCCCAGCCTCCCTCCTTCCTTCCTCTCTCTTTCTGCCCTTTTTTTCCCTCTCCCTCCCTTTGCTGGCAGCCCAGCCCTAATAAAATGCAGTGTCTCCAGCAAGTCTGCCCGGCTGCCGCCTCGCTGCTCCTGCCTGCACGCAGCCCTCAACCCAAACTGCTCAGCTCAGCCCCGCCTGGCAGCTGCCACTTAACCCTTGCCAGCCCGGCTGGCGTCCGTGGGCTGGAGGCCCTCCTCCCTTCCGCCACCCTCAGGCAAGGGGGAGGGGAGGCCTATTTTCTGAGAGGCAGAAGGGTAAGGTGGAGGCTGGAGGTCCCCAGGTTCTGGAGTCCTGCTGTTCCCCAGGGCCCTTCTGTTCTGCTTCCTCATCCTTATTCTGCTTTGTGGCTCAGTCGCCCCAGAGGCCCCGAAGGGTGGGGATTGTTGTTCCCATTCGACAGGTGAGGGACTGAGATTCCAACAGGGAGTTTCCAGGCTGAGCTGGGTCACCCCGGCTTCTGCTGGATGGTGTTACTGAGTCTCCATTCTAGACTTTTTCCAGTACAGGGAGATCTCTGCTGTGTGTGTGCACCTGTGTATCCCTTGGAGTGTATCGTTTGTATATTTATGTGATGCTAACGTGTCTCAGATGTGCATTCAGGTCTATGTATTTGGCCTCAGAGGACAACATGAGTCCATGTATGTGTGATGGTAGAGATGTGAGTCTTGGTACATGTGTGAGAGGTGGCTTCACAAGCGTGTGCGTGAATTCCATCTGTGTCTGCCATCTGGGCCGAGATGTTTGCTCACGCACACTTCCGTTCCTACTGCCACCTCCAGCTCTCTGCCTCCAGAGTCTTGGAGCTGGGGAGCTGGAAGAGGAGGGGGCGGCGCTGCTGGCCTAGGCCGTCAGTGAGTCAGGGCCCAAGCACTCTCTGAGAAGGTCAGTGTGGAACCCCCCATGTCTGTTTCCATGATCCAGCCTGGATCTCAATGGCCTGGGTCCCTGCCAGCCGTGGGAGCTGTGCTGTTCTCCCTGCCTAAGGCCTCACCCTCACCTCCAACTGAAAGGGACAGACAGGAGGGTGAGTGGTAACGAAATGCCTGGGCATGGAGGCAGGGGGTTTACACATGTGTGCAAGCATGTCTGTGTGTAAGCCCAGGATCAAAGAGCAGCCCTGAGGTGACCCAGCAATGGCAGCGGTGGAGGGCTGCTAAATCACACCAACAAGGGACGCCAAGCAGAGTGAAGTCAGGGAGGCCAAGGGCTGGGAGCCTCCATTCCCCAGACCTTGGGGCCAGCATCCGTGCCCCGCATGATACCCCATGCGGTCAGGAGCATCTGTTCCCCCCGGCCAAGCCCAACTCAGCACTTGAGCTCAGAGCCCCAGCGGTAGGTCCCCAGGGCTCTGAATCCCTTAGGAGCCCCTCCTCAAAGGTCCTTCCCCACCAAACAACTTCCCTGACTCCAGCCCTCCCCTGAGAGCTGCCTGCCTCTAGTCTCCAGTTCAAAGAGCTCAGTGGTTATTTTCTTCTTTTTTATTAATGTTATATATAAAGGTGAGTCCAATAAGAAAGCAGAAATGAGAAGGCTGGGGGAGGGTGGGAGCTGGCTTTGTTCCCATCCCCCTAGCGTGGGACTCTTTGAGATCCACCATGTCTCTCCTCGTGCCTGCGCCTCCCACCAAACCCAAATCCAGCCGGAGCCCACATCTCTGTTTCTCTCAGCTCACTGTGCACAGGCAGGTACGTCCAGGAGGAAAGGGCCACATAAATAGGAAACCACAGGAGGGAGGAGGCTGCTTCTCTCTGTTGCTTTAAAAAAAAAAATACATACTATATATATAGCTACAGTCTTCTACCCCTCCTCTTCTTCGATGTTTGACCACATCAGGGGTGGAGGAAAGTTGGCTCCGGGGGGACATCTAGGCCAGGAAGAGCCAGTGCTACCGGCCTTTCAGACAGCCACCCCCTCACCCCTAAAGGTACCGAGTTATAACACCGTGCACCTCACCCGACATTCTCTGTCTTGGCGGGAACAATCTGTTTCCAAGGCCACCGGAAAGGGGGTGTTTGGGGGTTTGTCTTTCCTGGTGTGTCTCCTTGGAGATTTGGGGTTTGGCGCCAGTTTACTGGAGGAGAGGAAGAGGTGGGAAGAGGTGGGGTGGGGGTGTGGGGGTGAGCAGAGGCGCCCACACAGGGGAGATTGGTCCTAACTCTTAACAATGCCCTTTGTCTTCCTATTTTTCAACAGCTTTTGAAACCAAAGTTGTGCAAAGTCCTGTACACGGGAGAAGAAATGGGTGGTCGGGAAGGCTGCCTGGGACCCACCCCTTCTCTTCGACCAGAGTGGGGGAGGCGAGGTGCTCCTTGAATTCTTCTCTCTAAAGCCACAAATATTAATAGCTTCCCTTACTTGGGGCTTTTCTTTGGTGTAACCCTCAAATCTTAAATGAGGGCTAGAAGTTCAGGGCAGGGCTCGCTGAGGTCCCCACCCTGAGTCCCAGTCTCACGGTCCAATGTCTTTTTGGCAGAGAGGATGCTCAGGAAGGAGGCAGCCACAGGTGGCTTGGGGGAGGATCTTGGGCCTGGCAGGTCCTGGGATCCACAGTGCCTGGTGCCCCAGCCCCAGCCTGACCTGGGCACACTCCACAGTCTCCCCAGTACCCAAGGAATCCAGTCTGGGGACCGAGTACTAAGATTTAGAATCTGGAAGGTGATGAGCCATTTGAAGCCAATCCAGGCTCTTGGAGCAGAAGGGGAACAGCTGTCCCAGCTGGAGTGGAGTGCCCAAACATCTGGAGGGGCACCCCAGTGTCTAGGCAGGGAATGGGAGGTTCAGGGGGCATCCTTGGTCCATGTAAATTTCCTCTGGAAGCTCTTGGGTCCCTGGAGGAAGGGGCAAGGGAAGGGGGAAGGGATGTCCTTTCCCCTGTGCTCCTCGATGATTCCTGAGTGTCAGCTAGGACGGAGGCGCCTTCTGCCTGGTCCCGGGGTTCCTTCGTGAGAGGTTCAGGACGGGTAGGTGCTCAGTACACAGCCCCAGGGTTGGGCGGGGGCCCTGGGGAGGAATGGTGCAGGGTGGCTGGTTGAGGCGGCTGCTGCTGTAAGTGGGGTCCACTCAGGTTCTGTGCATGATACCAGGAGTTGGTGGGGTCGTCCAGGTAGCTGGGGGAAGCACTGTACGGGAGTGGTGGGGGCAGCTGGCTGCGGGCAGGGGCTGGAGTAGAGTGGGAAGAGGTGTCCCAGAGGGCGGGTGATGGTGGTGAGTTGCAGGCCATGGAATCGCTGTTGTTGGGGCTGTGCTCCAGGGGAACCTCCCCATTCTTATAGAGCTTCTTGAATTTGGAACGGCGGTTCTGGAACCAGATTTTCACCTGCCCCAAGAAGAAAGGGGGAGCTAGTTAGCCTTTTAGAACACTTCGTGAAAACCCGTCCGGGAAGCCAGTCTGGAGAGGGTTAGGGAAGAACCCACTGTCACATAAGACCCAGGCAAAATCCAGGCATCCTGCCTCCTGGCCAGCATCTTTTTCTACTGGAGACAGAACTTCAGCTAGGAACTTTTGGCAGCTTAGGTCCAAATTCTGCTCTGCCACTTGCTAAGTGTGTGACCGTGGGCAAGTTACCCAACCTCTCTGGTTCTTGCTGTCCTCATCTGCAAAATGGGGACACTGGCAGCACTATTACCTACCTCATAGGGTCACTATAGCGCTCAAAAAAGTTAAGACAGATAAAGAACTCAAAGCAGCCATCCGTACTACTGACAGTAAGCACTGAATAAAGGGCAGCCCAGAGGGGAGGAGGCAGTTTGCAGCATTTTGTTCACATTAGAAACCCATAAGCAAAGGTGCACAGATATACAGAGACAAATACACACCCACATAAGCATCTCCATGTGCATGAACATACCCACTCACCACTTCACACACAGGCAACAGTCTATAAAGATACACACATGCACAGATACACCCAGATAAACACCCTGCAAACATGAGCTCCCATGTTCACACACTCAAGAGCCCTTCAGGGCTGGTTAATGGGGGTGACCTGGGACTCAGGAGCAGGTGAGCCATGATTCCCCAAATTTCCCTTGGGGTATCTCCCCCTCCCCCTGCCGCTCTCCACCCCATGACTGGTACAAACAATGAATCAGCTCCTCACCGGGTGACCCAGATTCCCGGCGGACTGGGCCCCACGCAGCCGCAACCCAGGCCCGCCTGTCAACACCTGTAGGGAGCCAGGCGTCTGCAACTCCTCCCCTGAGCAGTGACAGGCTGCTGGGGGCTTTAGGGACAGGCCGGGGCTGGGGGACTCCCATCTCTGAGTCCCTACCCCTCTTTGAGGGGAATCTGTTCTTGCCTCCAAGCGCACAAGGGGTGGAGCATTTGGGTACTGAGCAGGAATGCAGTCTTTTGATACAAGCACACATTTTTGTACATACACTCACCACGGGGCCCAGTCAAGTACATGTGTCCATCAGTAAACACAGTGGCCTTTGAAAGACCTTCCTCTTTAGGTGTGTTTCCCACATGGACTGTGCACACATTAGACTGTGTGCAAATAGACATGAATACACGTGTATGTACACCCCTCACACACACGCCTAGCCTGGGGTGGTGGGATGAGGTGGTGGGGAGCGTGATGCGGACTTCTAGCAGTGACCAACGCAGCTGGGAGCCTGTGGAAACTGGGGATTCTGGGGCAGAGCGGGGGATACCTCTCCTTCTGATAGACACACTCAGTCGCACGATTCACAAATATGCACACATGTACACGTGCTAATGCACAAACTTCAACTGAGTTTGAGATCTGGGGGTCCTTCTACCCACAGACAAGGGTTTCAAGGGCCTGCAGGGAACTTATGAGGCCATCGAGGCTCAGCGGTGCCTGGGGTATCCTGGGGTCCCGAAGGACCCCACCGAGTCCTCCCGGCCTTCGACCGCCCACCACTGACCTGCGTCTGCGTGAGGCCCAGCTGCGCGGCCAGCTCCGCGCGCTCGGGCAGCGCCAGGTACTGGGCCTTCTGGAAGCGGCGCTGCAGGGCGGCCAGCTGGTAACTGGAGTAGATCGTGCGAGGCTTTCGGACCTTCTTGGGCTTTCCGTTCACCATGCGCACCTCAGCTTCCGGCTCCTCCTTCACGGACACTGCGGGCAACGCACCGGGCGGTGGGCAACTCAGTCTCGGCCGGAGACACCGGCGCCCTCCCGAGCTCCGTGGGAGCCCCCATCATCCGGCCCACCGACTCGTCCGGGGACTTCCCGGCGGCGTTCTCCGCCGTCGGCGCCCCGGGAGGGAGCTGCGGCCACAGAGCCTGGCCGGCGGCCGCCCACGACGCTGCGCTCCCCGTCTCCTAACCTCCCCGGTCCCGGCGCCAGCCACCCTGGACGCGCACGGCAGCCGCCTCGCTCCCCTCAGTCCCTGCCACCCGCCAGCTCGCCGCCCTCTCACGGGCACCTCGCCGTCGGTCATTCCTCTCGCTCTTTCTTTCCTGTTCTCTCTTCCTTTTTTTTTTTTTTTTCAAAAAAACTTTTCTTTTTAGAATAATTTTAGATTTCAGAAAAAGTTGCGGACACATCAGACTTCCTTTTCCTTCCTTCCTTCGCCCTTTCCTCAGCTCCTTTCTTCTGTCTTTTCTTTCACTTTGTCGCTCCATTTTTATGCCACCACTTTATGTTTATAAATAAAAATACATATTTTATAAAAACATATTTTTATGCCTCCATTTTTCTTCCCCCCCTCCCCCGTTTCTTCACTCTCAATTGCTGCTTCCCTCCCTGTTTCCGTAATTCTGAGGGGTCTCTCTCCGTGTCCCCCTCATCTTTCCCCCCCTTCCCAGCCCTGACCCACACTGCGGTGGCAGAACTCCCAGCGCCCGCCGCCTGCCCCGAGCCCTCTGCCGCCCGATGGAGAGCCGCCTGCTGAAGTGCCGGGAAAGCACCTGGATCCGGAGACTCTCTGACCTTCCAGGGCCCTCTCCTTCCCCGCCTTGCTCACCCGGATCCCCACCCGGGGCCGACCGCGGCGTCCCGCGTGCACCACGCCCCAAAGGCGCCCAGTTTCTGGCCGGGAAGGTCGTCCGTCCACTCTGGGGGTCATCTAGCTCACCGTCTCTAACTTCAGACAGTACATTTCTTAGCCGGGACGCTCCCCTAGATTTTGGCTCCAATTCCTCTCTCTCGGGAACCTCCCAGTGCCTCCCGCTCTCAGCGCCCCCGAGGTCCTCACCTGGGTCCTGAGCGGGCAGCGGCTGCTCCCGGTAGGCTCCATATTGCCGGTAGGAGGTTCCGTAGGTATATTCCGACTTGGGCGAATAAGCGCCCGTGCCTCCAAGCCCGTTGAGATTGAACTGGTGGTGGTAGGTGTAGGGGTTTACGGTCTGGCCATAGGGCTGGCCCGAGTAATAGTCGTGCTGGGGAGCGCTGTAGTAGCCCAGGTCAGTGACGGAAGACTCGGGCAAGGTGGGCGAGTCCTTGGAACCCGCATGGCAGCTGAGCGAGCTGGAGATGTCGGTGAGGATGCTGCTGAGCTTGCGATCGAAGGAGCCACTCATCCTGGCGGGCGCCGCACCACCCCCGGGCTGGCCTCAGCCGGAACGCCGAAGCGGGCAGGAGCTCGGGGGAGGCGGAGGAGACGAGGCGGGGTTGTGTGTCCGGAGGGCGAGGGGGGAGGGTTCCCGGCAGCGTCTCTGGGGAGGGTCGGCCGAGGGGCGCTTAGACCATCGCGGGTCTTCGGGCGGTCGCGGCGCGCCTCTCTTCGCGTCCCAAGCCACAATCAAATGCTGCCAGCTCCGCCCGGCCAGCCGGTTATAGACTCAATAGTGGAGTCGCAGAGGGAGGCCCCAGCGCTCTGATTGGCTGCAAGTCTTGCCTTCCAGGCAAAACATGCTCTTGCGCTCTTTCGTTTCTCTCTCTCATTCTTTGTTGTTACTCAACACACAAACACACACACACTCACACACACGCAGAGTCACACACACACTCTCTCTCTCTCACACACTCACACAGACCCCTCTGTTCCTCCTCCTGTGGATCCCTTCCCCAGCCCAGATAACTCCTCAGTGTTGCTGAAGGAAAGAGTGGGACAAGGGTATCTCTGCAAGAGTCCCCAGGTCTGTCCGTCTGTCTGTTTCTCTGCCTGTGAGTGGAAGGTGGGTTCAGGTGCCATAGAGGAGGGGAATTTTCCCGCTGGGTGTCTGTGGAGGTAGGTGGTTCAAGGTGTGTGGGGTGGCGGGGCAAATGACAGGCAGACAAACATGCCCAAAGTGGCAGGACCCAGGCTCATGAAAATGTTCTAGTTTTTTCTTTTTTTAATTAGAAGAAAAGAAAAAAAATTAGGTTAAAGAAAAAGTTTGAATATATACTACTATATCGTTTTTACAGCAATGCAGTCACGAAATGTAACTTTAAAAAATGTTTTTAACGAATGAAGGGGCCCATCAGGCAAAAGTGCTTCAGGCCTAAAAAAGTCATCACTGGGTCCAGGAAGGCTCCAGGAGGTGCACAGCCTGTGTGTAGTGATGTTAAATTTATCTCCAAAAGTTTCAGAGATGACCTAGGCTTGGAGGAGAGAACATGGTCCCCATGAAGATGGATGGGACACAGGCTGGCTCTCTGTGCTTCAGTAAGTTTGGGGGCAGATTCTGTGCTTCTGGGACTTCTAATACCCAGAGTGAGCATTTTTAGAGATCAGGGGTGTGTGATGAGGAGATTTCATGTGTTCTGCAGCACATACAGAGTCCATGTACATACAAAGATTGCACATGAGTGCAGGAGTGTGCATGTGAGAGAGTGAGCCAGTGTATATGGGAGTCTGAAAGTAGTGTGAGTGGAGGGCCATGGGATGGGGTGTCTGCGCTAGAATTTGTAGTTGTATACAGATGCACATAAAACTCTCAGCACCTTCCCAACCTCAAGTAGTTGAGAACCATGATGCTCCACTGAACCCTGTCCCCCCCCCCCCCAAGAAAGAGGCTATCCTCCCTGGGACTCCCACCTCCTAGTTCTGTCTGGCCCACAAGGCCAGCTTCTAAGTCATCCAAACTGCTCCCAAAGCTTTAGCGCATTGATCCATTCCACTTTCGATTCTGTTCTCCGCTTTTTTAGGTTGCGGGGAGAAGAAGTCTCTTCCAAATATCAGTTCCTAGTTGCATACAACCTTCACATAGGGCTCCGCGGTCAATTCTCCTGTCCTCTTCCCCTGCCTGACCGGGCGAACTTGTCAAAGGACGCACAGTGCCAGCTCGCCACCTTGTGGTCAGTCCTTGGCTCTGCAGCATCCCCAAGTCTTGCCCAGCCCGGAGGAGGGGTCTCTTTCGTAGACTCTGTCCGGTGGAGAAGCGTGCTTTGGAAGAAAGCTTTGGAAGGGGCTCTGTGCCCCTTTCCAAAACCAGACCGACAGGGTAAGCTGTCAGTGTTCTCAGGGCTTTGAGAGCTGCCGTTGGCGAAGACAGAAGGCCACAGTCTGGGGTGCAAGGGGCAGGAGTGCCCGCCAGGCCCAAGTGGAGAGGCCGCGGCGTGGGAAAGGTGGGGGCGGGGGCTGGGCCTGGAGAGCGCTATCTGTCTGTCTATCTCCGCGTCCCCCCAGCGCCTATCGCCGGCCGCTCCGAGCCCGTGGCGGGGCGAGTTGCCACCCGCTCTGGATGCCCTCTGTTCTGGTGCCAAGAGGGCGCCTGGAGAGCCCGCGGCGCTAGGGGCAGGAAGGGCACTGGGCGGGGCCGCCCCCCCTCCCAGAATGGGAGCGGGGGGAGGCAGGCTGGGCCTGCTTTGGAGCCCCCAGCCCTCCAGAGTTGGGTAAGCCCCTTCTTGGGGGTTCATTCATTCATTCATTCACCCGTCAACTGAGACAGAGAAACGCCAAGTAATTTAGAGACAGAAGGAAGTCTACCTTACTCACGCCATCCTCAGTGAAGCCTCACTCCCTTCCCTCCTTCTAGCACTCCTAAGTGAAGGAGCAGTGGGTTGGGAGCTCGGAATCCTGGAATCATGAAAGCGTGGTGGTGATGGTGGGTTATGTTAGGATAATTTCTATGCTGCATTCTGCTATGAAAACCCAAGAGTTCTAAAAGAAGATTTAAACTGCAGCATTAGGGACTGAAGAGAGCAATTAAATAACTGGTAATGTGAAGTTAGCATCTGATCCCCCATTGCCCTCGGTGCTCCAGGACACCAGGGACCGTATCTGTTTAGTTCACTACTACATTCTAGATTCCAAGGGCAGGTCCTGGCACACACAACCTCACTACCCAATAGATGTTTGATGAATGAATAACTAGGACTCCCTAATATTGGAAAGGGGCTGAATCATCTCAGTTGGGTACGCTTGCAGGGTTAGGGAAAGGGGTGGCCTGGAGCAGGCTCTGGCATCAAGCTGTCCCACTCCAGGATAGGAGCAGCTTCCTAGATGAGGCCATGTGGCCCCAAAGGGGCCTGTCAGGCCAGCAAGACTGGAGCCACCAGCCGCTGGGCAGGCATCTGCCAGCTCAGGCTGGTGAGATTGCCAGAGGATTCAGTGGGACCAGTGCCACCCATTGCGCCTCACCTGAGCCAACAAGATGAGCAGGTGTCAGCCTGGGCATAGTCCTCCCTCTGGTGAGGGGTGATGGAGGGCAGACAGTCTGATGCCTCTGGGAGGCTGGCAGGAGGGAGAAGAGGCAGTGTCGGCCAGTGCCTCAGAGCCCATTGAACACCCTCTCTCTGGTACGAGAACAGGTTCTCTGTTGAAGCAAGCGATTCCTTGGAGCCCAAATATTATGCCACCTGGGCACTGCCAGAGCAGCTGGGTTTACAGAGCGCCAGATCTGAGGGGAGGAACTCAGGAAGGACCCAGCCAGAGGGTGAGCCGGCCAGCTCGAGTTCTCTTCATTGTCTGGTGAGCTGGCGCCACCTAGTGGTCACTGTCAGGAGGCGTGTCCCGCCGCTCTCCGGTAGACCTGGGAAGCAGGCCACCTGCAGTGTCCCACCATCACACCCAGAAGGAATGTTGTCTTTACTTATTTTAGAAGCCTTATCAACACTAAATATTCACTTTTCACTATGACTTTGCCTTACTCAGCAGTTGCCACCTCTCCCTCCTCCCACGCATCCTTGTCCAGTCAGTGACTCCTTCCCTTAGGTTTCTCTTTTGTAAATTAAAAAGTGGATTATTAGATGGCCTCTGAGGTCTCTTCAATCTCTGATGTTCTAAGACTTTGATTATAGGGCTCTTGTCTCTTAAAGGGGATATTCCCTCTATCTCCTCTCCAACTCCCTTGCAGATGCACCCGTGGATGTTTTTCTTCTTTCTGGAGTCCTTTGTCCATCCAACAAATATTTCCTGAGCTTCTCCCATATTAGGCTCTGAGAATGGAGTAGTGAACAAGGCAGACACAACGGCCTCCTCCATGGAGGTCCAGGTTTAGTGGGGGAAGTGGGTATCCATGCAGCCAGTTTCACTGCAGTGAGTGAGGGATGTACTGGGATGGGGTAGCACAGGCTGGGGGCTGTAGGTAAAGGTAAGGTGGAGTCAGAGCCCCAGAACACAGGGCTCCTGGGACTCTGGAGCAGGAGAGTGGGATTTATCTGGAGGCTCTGGAAACTCACTGAAAAATTTTAACCAGAGAGATTGAATTTTCATTCCAGAAGATTTCTTCTCGTGGCTGTGTGGGGATGAACCTGAAGGACATGCTTGGAGTCTGGGAGGCTGCTGCAGAAGCAGGACAAGGGGGAGCTGTGTCTGGGTTGAGGAAGAAGCAGCAGAAGTGGGGAGAAGTGGGTGGACTTGAGAGATGGTTAGAAGGTAGACCGATAGTGCTTGGTTGTTAGTGGCAAGGAGAGGGGACTAGCAGGGAGTAACACCCAACTGCTGACTTGGGCAACTGAGTGGGAAGTTGAGATCGTTATCTGAGGGAAAGAGAACCTCAGGGAGAGGGGGTGCTTGATGAGGAAGAGGACCTGTCCTGTTTTCTTTTTTAACCTTTTCATTAGAGTTTAAAATTTATGCAGAAAAGTACACAAACCATAATCAATGATTTGCACAAACCAAACATGGCTTGCACCTGAGCTTATCCCCAGTGTGAGTACCAGGTTGAGAAACAACATCACCAGCACTGGGACTTCCCTGGTGGTCCAGTGGCTAAGATTCCGAGCTCCCAAGGCGGGGGGCCTGGTTCCATCCCTGGTCAGGGAACTAGATCCCATATGCCCCAACTGAGAGTTCACATGCTACAACTAAGACAAAACACAGCCAAAAAAACCAAAACCAAAACACAACACATTGCCGGTACCTTCAGCTACAACTTCCCAAGGTGAGCATGGTCTGAACTCCTAGCACCGCAGGGTGCACTCCTCCATATCTGGCTTCTCTTGCTCAACGTAATGTTTGTGAAATTTATTCATATTGTTGGATATATTTGTAGATCGTCCATTTTCAGTACCGTAGGTAGGTATCCTAGCAATAAATGTGCCAACATTTATCTGTTCTACTGTTGATGGGCATTTGGGTAAGTTTCCACTTTGCTGCTGTGAGCATTCTTGTTCACGGGCTTTGGTGCAGATGTGTACACGCTGCTGTTGG